TCGTTAAAAGCACTCTGCTTGTTGCTAGTCGCCTCCATGCTCCAATGGCGAGCGCATAGCCTCTATTGTGCGGGTGGCGAGCACGTTCACCGTGAACGGATTGATTTTCTATATGTCGACGCGCGGCGAACTCCATTCTGACCACCCGTCACGCAGTTCACACACAAATGAGGTTGTTTTGTTAGATAAGGGGAACTGCAGCATTAGGGCGTTTAGCGATTAGACTGCGGTTCCGTTTCATCACTGCAAAGATTGATATCTCTTGTAGCTTCACTTCTGCGTTGTACTTGCCGTCCTCTAACTGTTAAGGCTGCAAAACATGACTGCTTTCAGTGACACTGTCAGTGACCGACGGGCTCGTAGGTCCAGTGTCAGTTAGGCCTACCTCGGTGACCCGGCTAGAGAATCGGCGAGCGCTCGGTTGACCACCGCGAGTTCATCATCCTCGTTGACCTGAGCCATAGCGTGGCTCTGTCTGAAGTTCTCGGGGAGCAATCGGCACACCCACTTCACAAATTTGTTTGACGCGGAACTTCTTCACTGCAGCAGGCAGACAAAATGGCGCATGCCCGTGCGCCTCTCAACATTGAAGCAGACGCCCAAATCGCCACTTGGCCGAACTGATGCCTAGGTTTTGTCATGTGCCCCAAGCAGCAAATACAATCGTGCACTGGTACTTTTCGATGACGCAGGCTTGCTAAAAAACGAATGAGCAAGGCGAGCCGGCGGTGGCAGGAAATTGAAGATGAGGAATGGCCCTTCCAAACGAGATCAAATGGCCACGATAGCTCATGTGTAATGGCAAGGGTTCGGCACGAAAAAAGCATGATTTTAGCATCTCTTTGCGCTCACATTCATCTCACAAGGGTGTTATAAATTGATTTTACGGCAAATGTAATAATGCGGGAAGCTAGAAACTTCTCAGATTAATGCGAAAATTGTTACCGATTTTGAAAATGTCACCTTCGAAAAGTCAACTTTTTCACAATTTCCCACCATTTAAGACCGGTGTCCCCCCTAAAGGTAAATGCGTGAGGACACATGCGCAAAATGTCCCGGATAATGCGAGGGATGCCGCCTACAATTTATCACTAGTAATTGAACTAGCTGCACTAAATAAAGAACCTTTTGTGCATCAAGAGACGTAATAAAATGCTGCTTGTTTGTTTCTGTTTGATTCATTAAAAAATTAAGGAGGAGGAGGTAAGTTTATTTACTGAAAGGCAGAGAGGTCGGCCTGAGCGATAGCTTGCTCTAGCCTGCTAATCCTACACTGGGGGAAGGGAAAGGGGAAAAGAAAGATTAATGGATGACGATGGCGAGATAGAGAGGTGAGTATGTAGTGTTCTTTCTAGCTGAGACACTTTTTATAGCCGCACACATAGTCCAGTTGTTTCTAAAAAGGTAATAACTGCTCTTGTGACCGCAGTTGCACTGTTGGTGTCTGGCCAAGGGCCCAACATGGTCTCATCAGTTAATGACCTACAGCGATATAGTTCAGTAGAAGAAATCAGTGTTTGTCGTTCACGTGTGTATGCTGGGCAGACACAAAATATGTGCTCAAGTGTTTCTGGCACATCACAGTGTTCACAATTAGGACCGGTGTCACTGCGACCGATGATATGTGCGTAATGTCTGGTGTACGCTACACCAAGACGAATGCGGTGGATCATACTTGTGAGTCCGTTTTAATTTAGGAGGCATGCGGAACCTCATTTCCGGGTCCCATTTGTGAAGTCGCTGGTGTCGCCGTTCCGGTTTGGCCCAGTGCTGAAGTGTGTAGCCGCGTCTCACGCAGCGAAGCAGGGCGTTCGTGTCAACTCGTGAAAACGCAATGCGTACTTCAGGGGCACTGCTTAAGGCATTTTTAGCTTCAGCGTCTGCCTCTTCGTTTCCCATCACGCTGCAATGAGCGGGAATCCACTGGAAAGTTATAATATGACCATTTGTTGAAGCATCCTGAATAAGTTCTGTGATTTCTATTGCCAAGCTGTAATACGGACCTTGCTTCATGATGCAATTAATGGTTTGCAAAGCGGGTTTGGCATCACAGAAAATCGTCCAGGCTCGAGGTCGCTCTCCTGAAATAAACCTTGTTGCCTCCCGGATAGCGACAAGCTCTGCGGCAGTTGATGTGGTTTTATGGTCCACTTTGAATCGTCGAGCGATATCCATGTCTGGGATGACAAAGGCTGCGGCGGAGGTGTTGAGCGTGGTGGATCCGTCGGTGTACACGTGCAGAGAATCACTGTACGTTGTGTAAATGTGATATAAGGTCAGTTGTCTGAGGCCAACAGAAGAAATGAGCGAATTCTTCGTAATTCCAGGTATCGTAAAAGAGACAGGTGGTTTAAGCAGGACCCATGGAGGCACTGCAGGGGCATTTGGCGGAGAAAACCTTGATGGTATAATATTTTCATGCCGCGATATTACTCTTGAGAAACTGCGATCTGGGTGAGTGGTGGGTAGTACTGACAGTGGGTGCTGTCTGTGTCTGCTCAGTAATCAGAGGTGAACTCTAAGTGGCTCGCAGAGCATTTGTACACTGATGGGACAAGCCCGAACCTCTGCGATTGTCCCATTTGTTGAAGTACAGCGCGGTAGACCCAAGCATCTTCGTAAGCATTGAGCTTGAACACTCTCTAGTATCTTCACACAACTAGGTCTCATATTGGAGAGCACCGGCATGCTGTATAGAATGTATCCCACAAATAGAGCATTGTACAATTGAAATAGCGATGATTCTGATGGGCCCCATCTTGCTTCTGCTACGTGGCGAAGAATGAGAGCAAAGCTCTTCAATTCCGATTTAAGTACTGCGACATGCCTCGTCCTTGATAGATCTCTGTGTACGACAACCCCAAGGAACTTGTGGTGCGTTTTAAAATTAAATGCCGCATGTTACTATGGGGAATGGCGCGAGTGGTCTAAAGTTCTATTTTTGCATGGTTAAACTGGAGGGTCCAGTGGAACTAAGCACATTTGCCATGGCAGAAAATTGTTCAATTGCCATTTTTCTGCTGTGGCTCCTGCTGCTTTCGTTCTGCTGCTACTAGTGCCGGCGGCTGCGCAGTAAAGCCGAGAAACGTCGTGCATGGTAAGAGTGACAGAGTGACTTAGACGTTCTGCTTGAGGCGGGCAATTTGAAGTGTGCTAACTGGATGCAGGCTATGAAAACGTGATTTTATTAGGAAATAAGCACTTCCTTGGCACGTAAGTAACACAACAAGGTTTCTGGACTGCTGTTTGCTGTTTCAACAATCAACGTTAACCTAATAGTTTCCCTTAGTGTCTTTTCAGTGGGGGACGTGGCAATGGCAATAATAAATTTGGTCAGAATGTTCTGTTTTTCAATTAATTTTTTTCTGTAATCCTGAGACCATGTTTTACATCATAGTGTGATTTTAAATCAAAATAAGTAGTAGATGTTTAGAAACAAGCATATGACAGACTTTACATTTTACAAGCATTTTACATTATATAGACTTTTGTACAGTCAAATCTCATTAATTCAAACACACTTAATTCGAACTCACGATGAGGTCCCGTCAAAGCTATATGTATTTCAATGGGCGAAAACGCCCGGTAATTCGAACGCGCAAGTATTTTCGATGGTTAATTCGAACATATCATGCTCCGAAAATGCTCTCAGCACCCCGCCTCATCCCGCGGCGGCACCTTTGACACCTCAACGCTGAGCACGAAGGAAAGGAAAAGGAAAGAAAAAGCTGCGGTGGAATGTTTGCTCTCTCTCAAATGCCGATTTGCGACGCGCCTGTGCACGCTTCTCCCTTTTTCGCCCCTTCCACGTAAAGACCCTTCTCCTTTCATTGCCACATGCAAAGAGAGAGAGAAAAAAAAGCTGTCGCGAAGTGTGGTTCTCTTATGCGCCGATGCCATGCTTCTCCCTTTCCCGTCCCTGCCTCGTAACCCTTCCCCTTTCAAAGGCGCGGGCAGAGAGAGCAAAAAAAAAAAAAAAAAAACTGCCGTGGAGTGTTGGTTCATCTCAAATGCCGATCTGCTTCTCTCCCCGTGGAGACGCTATTCCTTTCTTGTCCCGTGCTGGCCACGCTGCGGCTTTAGAGCAGAGGGTAGTAGCGGTGATGCAGTTGTCATTGTCTTCGAGTTTCGGCACTGGACATTGCCGTGCGCAACTTCTCTTGCCAGGAGAATGCTGAAGCTGAAGTAGACATGCTTTGCAAGCTGCGTGCGAAATTGAATGACTCGCTGCAAGGCAAACGTGTGCAAACATGCATCACCGATTACTTCAATTAATGATGGGTATCCTGTGATTTGTGAATAATTGTAAGTCTTCTGAAACTTCCCCCTCATGTGTTAGCTCAATGCACATGCGCCACTGCATGGGGGGCCCTTCGTTTGCTTAGCTTTCATAATTTGAACTTCCTTTAATTCAAACAAATTTTCGGGCCCCTTCAAGTTCGAATTATTGTGATTCGGCTGTAATTGGCTTTGTAAAAGTTGTTGGTCATTTCAGAAAAAAGTTTGTGTGCTAACTTAAATATTACAAATAAACCAATAGCATTGCAGCACAAAATGAACCCTTGTAAATATTCTTATGCAATAATTTGATGAATTTGTGTCAAATAACTAATTAATTTTGGGGTGACAATGAGAGTTTATCAAGTGTTGTAACTCAAAAGTTGTATTAGATAGCTCAAAACCTATTTCAGTTATGATATCAGCACAGCAAATGACATCTGCATGCCGAATTTCATCCCGTTGGCTTCATAAATAACAAATATTATCTTCATTGCCACGTCCCCCCTCAAAGAACCTGAGGTGGTCAAAATTTTCCGAGCTCTGCACTATGACATCTCTCATAATAACACCGTAGTCTTGGGATGTTAAATGCCAACTGTGATTGTTAATATTATGAGGCATCTCAAGTTTATTGCTCTAGTTGTGTTGCTGAGACTACAGTGCCCAATTCCGAGATTAACGAGCATGCTCGGTGTGCACGTTCACTTCCTTGACCACAGGCGGGACTCCTAGAAGAGTACACGGAACGCCGGAGTGGTGGCATTGGAATAGCTCCAAGTGCAAGCACAGTGGCGGCCACCCTAGAGACCATGATCCAGCTCCAGCAGAAGCTGCTCTCAATGACTGCTGCCCAGCAGCAGCAGCAGCAGCAGCAGCAGCAGCAGCAGGTTCCATCGGCTGGCCTGACCGCAGGCAGCACGACGGCCACACTGGGTGGGCCGCCAGCTGGGGGCGCTTACCGGTCCAACGAGTTCTCCCCTTCCTCAGACTTGCAGAAGAGCCTGCAGCAGTTGAGGCAAAGTCAGCGCTATAATGTGAGTGCTGGTTTCATTTTAAGTTTCGAGTATTTTGTTGCTACAGATTATTGCTGTTAAATTGTCTCAACCACGTCTAAAACAGCTGTAATACGTCCTGGTACACATACAGTGAAACCCCGATTAATTAAATGACTTTCAAAGGACCACGCAGAACCGTCGTATAATGGGGGCGTCATATAATCGGAAAAGAAAGATTACAAGCAGTGACATTCAGCCTTGCCCAAAAAACTGGTACAGACTTCCTGAATAAGCCCATGGCACCTCCTTGTGCCTCTGCAAGGAATTTAAATTATTCCTGCCAGTGGGAGCTAATGACATCGTTACAGTTGAAAAAGGTGAGAGCAAATGTTTATCGAATCTAACGCGCATTTTTCTACCAATAAATGAAGTCCGAAAATTGCCTGCAGGTGAAAATGAAACTGAAACTGCGTTGCCGACAGCCTTCCGTCAGAAGAGTCAGACACAGTGTCATTACTATCACATAATGCTGACAGACCACGAATTTTCTCAAAATACTGTGAACTAGAAGAGATGTAGTGGCATGAACACTTTGCACAGGGGGCCCGTTTTCGCATGGATGCCGTGAGATGGCGCCACTGCAACTTTTCATACTGCTATGGCATGCCAGCCTATGGTTGCCGCGGATTTTTCTCATGCAATAATTGCAGATTTTGATATTATTGGTGCTGCTGTCTACACAAATCCAAGCCTTTAGTCGGGGGGGGGGGGGGGGTTTATTGTAAATAAATAGTGAAAATAGGCATTTTTCTCAAATAGTCAAGGCTTTCAACAAGTGCCCCCCCCCCCCCCCCCGAAACAAATTCCGGGCTACCGGCCTGCATACGCCAATCTTACAGAAGCAATTATTCATTGTTTGCACATTTTTGGCAGTGAGTGTGCAGGTAGACCAATAACACCCAAACTTTGTGTTACATAAAATGACTTTTTGAGGGCCCGGATTTTACGAAATTAGCACTTGCACCTGTTTTGCGAAGCGGACATCAAGAGAATGAAACATCCTTGACGTGACGAGAGTGTTGACAAGTGTCCCGGGTAGTCCGAAGCACTTAGCTAGGGGGCTCCCACCCTTCCACTGCCAGCAAGGACCTACTTATGTTCATTTTCACTCTAGCGATAAATTCTTGATCGTGAAGTTATTTGACATGTTATTAAATTTAATAGTTATTTAATAATTATTTAAGTTATTTAATACTTAGTTAATAACAATTATTATTACTATAATTGTTTTCATTTAATGTATTAATTATCAATAATTAATAATTAATAATTCAAGTTAATTAATTTAATAACTCAATATAATATAACTTAACATAATTTGTTTAAGGTGCAGCGAATGATGGCTAGCACCTGCTCAGTTTAATATGTTTTGCACTTTCACGCTTTTTGATGCTACGCTGGTTTAGGCTTTCTTTAGAAAAAGTGGAGGCGTATCGTGACATAAAATGCCGGGACTTCAGCTGCGAGTTAATCAGAATGTTTGGGACACCCAATTTCAATCTTTTTCTTGCACTTAAAGAGACCTAAAACATCGAGTACACTATCAGAATGCAATGGGGAAAGACTAAAACATTCATTAAAAGCATTTTCCAAATTTACGACGAACGTATACAGCAAACTTGACAGGTAGAGAAGGCCACCATTGTCTCGCATGCTTGTGAATATACACAGATTCAAGCATTCTGCAGCCTCTTTAGTGATCAAGAGACGAGTAAGGCATGCCTCACACTCTGACTTCAAGATGTACTTTCGGGCAACATACCCGGCAATGTAGAAAATAAGCCTGTATTCACTGAAAGCTACAACACAGGATGAATGGTCCGGGGCATTTTCTGTAAGTAGGTCTTCTGCTGCACTCATGTCTCCCGAATCAAGCAGTTTGTCAACAAGGTGTTGCTTAGCACTTGGGCTAGCTTGGAAACCAGCCTCTGCTGGCAGAAGAGCACTGAAAACTCCTGCCTTGCAATTTCCTGTAGATACTGAGCGTGCTAGGTTGCTGAAACTCGGGCAGTTAATTGTGATGATAAACTGCTGTGGTGTAGGATGGGTGTTGCACCCAGAAGACTGGCGTACAATTCCAAAAAGGTGCTCGACAGGGTTTTGACTTAACCTAGATGTCATGAGGTGCCTATAGCCGAGATCTTCGCATGGGTACTTCAAGAGGGCAAGCACGCTTCCTATTGTCACTCGTAGTCCTTTTGCTGTAGATTTACTAAGGAATCCTTGTTGCTTTTTTGTAATTTTTCCAGCTCTTCAAAAACTCTAGAAATGAATTCAGTTTCTGTACAGCAGTCGAGTTGGGCCGCAGCGCCTCGAAAGGAAAGCGTGATGTCAGGATCTTTATGATGTAGTGAATGACACTGCAAAAGGGCATGAGAGAAGGTTCACTCTGTACACTGCATTGGTAGTGGAAAGGGCTACTAAGCAGAAAGAAAAAGGCGCTACATTAGAGCAAATGAGGAGCACGTTCTGCTGGTGCTGCTCCGAAGCACTGTACGCTGAAGACATTATGAGCAGTGAGGGCAGTTGCAGCTCGCAACTTTACCGTCAGAGAATGATAAATCTAACTGAAGTCTTCATTGTTCATAGCTCCCTTTGCAAGCACAGTTTAATTATTAATTAATTAATTAATTTATTTATTTTCATACTCTCAGGGCCCGAGGGCATTACAGAGAGGAGTGGTCTGACAACAATACATCAATAACTGCAATTTTGAAGGCGGCAGATTCTTCGATTGCAGCAATGGAAGCAGGAAGTTGGTTCCAGTCACTGCTTGTTTGAGGCAAAAAAGAAGCATGGCAAGTGTTAGTGTGGCATGTGGGAACTTTAACTTTAAGATGATGGTCGAACCGTGGTGATACATAATCTGGGGGAAGGAAAATATCATTTTTAAGTGTTAGATTCATGTAAAAGATTTTGTGAAATAGGTTGAGACAGAAGTACTTACGGCGTGACTTAAGTGTTGATAAACCTAGGGTAGCTTTCATTGAAGAAACACTGGCGTAGCGGTTGTAGTTAGAGAGCACAAAATGAGCTGCACGGTTCTGAGCGAATTCAAGGGCTGTAGTTAATACGGAGCTAAATAGATCCCAAATAGAACAAGCGTATTCCAATTTCGATCTTAGAGTGTTGTGTACAATTTAAGTTTTAAATCTGAAAGAACGGAAGAAAAATGACGGTGGAGAAATCCAAGCATGCGATTAGCGTTATTAATTACATGTTCAACATGCATATTCCAAGAGAGGTTGTGGGTTATATGCACGCCAAGGTAACGGTAACTAGTAACAAGGTTTAAAGAGGAGTTCTTAAGGGTATAAAAAAATGGTCATTGACTTTATTGTGGTGCATTGCTCTCATAACTTTACACTAACGGATGTTTAATTTCATGAGCCACTTGTCGCACCAGTTAGAAACAGCGTCATTATCGGACTGCAATGTAGAAACGTCATGTGGGTTATGAATGACACGATATAGCACGCAATCATCAGCAAAAAGCCTAATGGTAGAATTAATTCCGACAGGCAAATCATTAATATAAATAAGAAAAAGCAATGGACCTAAAACTGAACCCTGTGGTACACCTGATGTTACAGCAACGGTAGGAGAGTTATAATTATTAGCGTGAACATAGTGCAGACGATTTGTTAGAAAAGAGTGAATCCAGTCAAGGATGTTAGGATCTATACTTAGCTTGCTCATTTTAAGAAGAAGGAGGGTATGCGAAACAGTGTCGAAGGCTTTAGCGTAATCTAAAAAGATGCAGTCGATACTGAGATTATTGTCGAAAGCACGAAAAAGATCGTTAGTAAAAGAAAGTAACTGCGTTTCACAAGAGAAGTGCTTTCTGAAACCGTGTTGCCAAGGAGAAAAAATGAATTGGATTCGAGAAAAGATACGAAGTTCAAATAGACGATGTGCTCGAGAAGTTTGCTGGGTACACTGGTTAAAGATATTAGCCTGTAATTGAGGGGAGAGTGGGTGTTACCTGATTTGTGAAGTGGAACCACCTTACCCACTTTCCAATCATCTGGCAGAGTGGAAGACTGCAGAGACTGCGAAAAAAAGTTCAGTAAGTATAATGGAAGAATAAAGTTTTGTGTTCTTTAAGAATTTTGAATTGATGCCGTCGTTGCCTGCAAAGCTAGACAATTTCATTTTTTCTATTATACGGCACACTCCAGATGAATCAACAGGTATGAAGTCCATAGGAAAAAAAGGAAAGGTCTTTGACAGAAGGCATAGGTGTTGCCCCCGAAAAACACATGTGCATCTTGTGCATCTTGCATACATGTGCATCTTGCAAAATATTGCGTGCATCAGACACAAAAGTCACTGCTTTTTCAGCACTCAGCACCCCCTGAACCTTTGCAGTAAGTTCTCTTCCTAGCGCTGTGAAACACACAACTTTTTCGTGCCACATCTCTAGTCTTTTGTTCATTCGGAGAGATGTCAAACACTGCGGTCTCGAGACTCTGCAATTCAATGTGGCACCAATCCTGGGAAGAAGGTTCCATGGTCCGGAGGTAGTAAAGAGAAAGCGAGACTCTGTCTGCTGCAGGCAAATCTTCACCCAATGGTGCTCCACCATCATCCTCGTCGCTGAAGGATTGATTTTGTAGGCACGCTTTCTTCTGCTGTGATTCATTTGACGGCAGGGCTCTCTTCTTTCTTTCTGGCTTTTGTCGTGGCGTTGCGGTGGAGAGATACGATGGGCAGCCTGGAAGCACTTTTGGCACGGCCTCTGGAGCAAGGGACGGCTTCCCTCTCGGAGTCCGCACTTCGTTGCCGTTTATGACATGCACATAGTCACGCAGAATGAAGTGCAGTTCAAAGTGGTGCTCGCATACAGCCGAAGAAATGCTGAAAGCTTTATCTTTCCTGTCAAGGTTCCGCTCCCACTTCTTGCGGAGGTTAGCGTTCTTCGGTGCGGCGAACAGTGACGCTTTTGGCCCATTCGGGTAGCCTGTGCGGCAGCCCGGTGCGAAGCAGTGCAACTCTGTCCGCCTCTTCACCATGCCGCGGGCTGCACGCGGCGAACACACTCAGGGTACACGATCCGCACGAGAAGGCACGAAAGCACAGCGATGCTCCCAACACTCGCGTCACGCAAGCTCAGCCAAACTAGCACGTTGGGCCAGAGAACACGTTGGGCCCAGCCCCCCGTGCCATACCGCCGCCACACATACTATGAAAAGGAGCAGCAGCGCCCCCACCAATGCTAGCGGCCGTCCAGAGTGTAAAGGGATGCCGGGAAGCCAGGCGCGCCCCTCCGTTCATGCCACTACATCTCTTCTAGTTCACCATACTTAAAATGCGTTTGTGCACTACAGTGAAATCTCGGTATAACGAACGTCAGGGGGCTGCGGCAATTTGTTCGTTATTTTGAAAGGCTGTTATAGTGAAAGCCCAAAAATGAACCATAAATGCTTATTTTCAAGGGACCAAAGCGACTTACCTTCACAATGGTTGGTCTTTGAACTCGCTTTTCGCGAGAAAAAAACAAATCACAAGTGAACACCAAAAAATGCACGTTTAATTTAAAGTCGTCTGTGATCTTTTTTTTTTTTTTTTTGACGATTGCAGCACAAACTTTGCAGCACGAAAGGCCTCCAGCTCATCCACATTGCTGTGGTGCGATCTGGTTCTTTGGTCACAAAGAACCAGCCTTTCAGCTGTCGCAGAGTATCCACTTTCTCGCTTAGCGAAAACTGCTTCCGCTTCTTTGTCGCGAGCAGAGCAGAGATGAACTCATTTCTAGTAGCACCGCAGTGTGATCGCCCACTTGCTTTGCGGACGCAATAAGTAATCACCAAAAAAAAAAAAAAAATGAACACGACTGACAAACAAGGCCTCCTAGAGCACATGTAGAAGGGACAAAGAAAGAGAAACGCGAAGCATTGTGGCTGTCATTGCCTCTTTCGAAGACAAAAAAAAAGTGCTAAAAAGAACATTTCTTGCATTTCATTTTCTGTTTCCTCGCTGTCTCGGGTTTTCCGTGCCCATGCTTCCTGCTCCGCAACTCCCACTCTGCCTTGCTGACCTTGCCCTCTCGTGTTGCCCTCGCCCCTCGTCTCTGCGCTTGTAAACCTGCTGCATCGGCGTTTCAACAAAAGAAAAAGGAAAAAGTCGTTCTTTGTTTGTTTCTTCTCTCCTCACTATCGCGCATCTTTCGAGAAGCAAGGCGTCCGTTAGCTTTGTCGTCTGCTTGCGTACCGCTCCGATGTTCGCGCCGGATTTCGCAACATGAGTTCGTAGCACTGAGTCATTGTCAATATAATACGGAACTAAATTAACGCTCGTTATTCTGAAAAGTTTAGTTTTCTGAAGTACGTACTAGTAGTGAAATAACTTTACCATTAAACTATTAGCAGTCGGCATGGGATTTTTGAAAAGCTCTTTAATCTGAAAAGTTTGTTAATGTGGGGTTCGTTCTACCGAGATTTCACTGTACTATGCTGTGCATTGTAATTTGTTGCCTTGTGAAGTGTAGCTAGTGGTGTCCCGCTCGTACGATGAGTGTTGACGTCAATTGAAAGTAATTTTGTGCGTAAGTAACAAGCACGTTGCGCGTTTCTGCGTGCACTAGTTTGTGATTGCGAGTGTGACAGAGGCAGGAGGTCAGCTATATGTCAACCAGAAGAAGTTTTCATTGACCGGTAGCATGAAAATATGAGCTATTCGCAATGCTGAAGGTACTCTGGGTGGATAGAGCTTGACTTGGTAGTAATCCTGTAAATGTACGCACATGATCAAGGCATACGTAGATGCGCATGAACTTCCAGGGGAATAAATTTCCCATTTTAAAAAGTCATATATGCAAGTTCATATTTTGCACTCGGCAATATTTGGTCAACGTTTCATTCGACTAAAGGTTTTTTTTTTTTCTGCACGAAATCTGAACGTTTTCGTGAGAGGCAGAGTCTGTGTGAAACTGCGTTGTATAACAAAGGTTTTTTATACATTTTTCTAGGGGGATTTTGCCGGGACCAAACCGATTCGTCATAAAATGCGGGTAGCCGCAGAACCGGGGGACGCATAATTGAACTTCCACTGTATAGGACATGGGTGCTCAGGCTCTCATTGGTAATTACCACGAACTCCACTTGACTGTGCTCCAAGCGCCAGTTGCAAATTTGCAATTGGGAGGTACACTGGTGATATCTGCGAACCGCGGATTAGATTGTGGCTCTCTAATATGGAGCGTTTTGAAAACGGCGTAGAACAGAGATTGAATCACAACGGTTGATGACTAGTCTCAGCCTCGATTTCATCAGTTGTTGTATGCTCTGCGGCTGCAGGTGGGCTCCACGACAAGTTACAGTGGTGTGCCCTCCGTGGGAGGCCAGCCACAGCACTTGCAGCACGAAGCACCTTATGGTTCCACTGTGGCTCCACTGCGGGACTCTGGTTCCAACTACCAAAGTAGCACATTGGATCTGTACTCCGGCAAGAAGGGGCCTCCGTACGGACCAGCCACAACTGTGAGTGAACATTCAGCTTGCTTTTGTGAGGTCATGTCGGACTAGTCGCCATTTTGTGAGTCCTGCCTATAAGGAACGTTCGCAAAGAGAATTCCTCAATATTACGAATTCTTTCTATTTCCCACCGTCACTCTATAGAAGCACATGTGTTTGCAGCCTCTATGGAACAAAGTGTCCGTAGGAGACAACCTTGATATGTAATGAATTTCAACCTCTGACAATTCAGGGATTGTGCCCAGAATTTTGTTCGGTGTGCATAAGCAGGACTCGTGCATGCATCATCTGCGGGTCGCCCTGTCTACAATGAAGCAGTCAGCTGTGAACATAATGTACTCTAGGCAACTACGAGTGCAGGTAGGCATGATGCAAGCAGGCAGACCGGTGCCCCTTAACCTAGTGTTCTGGTATGCAAAGGCCTGCTTTGCCTCCCTTTCTTCAGACTTCAGCCAGCTGCTTACGGGTGCCGCAACGATCATGCCGGCTTTCTTTTCAAGAAAAAAAAAAATGTTTTCTGTTGGCAGGGTCACTCTTCTGTTGTTGCAAATATTTATGAACATTGTTAACATGACACCAGGTGGCACAACTGAATAAATAAAATTCTTCCTCGATCAGCTTCATGTCCTTACACAGTTACACTTCAAGTTGGTGCTGCATATTTGATCCCATGACGCATATGGGGAGTGCTTTTCCAAACATACCGTGGTATCAAAGTTGGTCGCTCTTCGTTTTTTATGCTGTGTGTGCGTATGCATAGAGCAAGTGGGGGAAACTTGTTTTGCTCTCTTATGCCCCGCCACAGGTTCGCTAGACATGGCTTTTGCATACACAGTTAAACCTGGATATAACAAAATTGATAAAATCTCGGAAAAATTCGCTATAGAGAGGATTTCATTATATACAGGTTCGATACGAAAATTGGGAAAATAAATGTGCAAATGAAACAAAAAGGGAACTGATGGCAGAGCTAACCCAAAACACTTACTTTACAGTGAAAAAAACTGCATTATTATTGTGATAGCAATTATATGGACACACTCAGTATGTTTTTGTTGTCGCCGCCATGTTCCTTAACAAGTCCAGATTGATAACATGCCCCCGCGCATAGTAACTTCCACGAGCAGGTAAAAGCGCTCGCAGAGAACAAATGAGTCGGCCCATCCCTATCGCCTGGAAAGTGCATAAGATAACATCTCTCGTTTGTTAAAACTGTCGTCGAATGTTCAAAGTAAACCACCCGCCTTGAACAAGCGTGAAACAACGCGGGGAGGGGAGGGCGGGGGGATCACTCGAGTAGCAATAATGAATTTGGATTTTAAGGGTTGTCGCGATCACTGGTGCGCTTGCTATCTTGGCGAGTATTGGTGCAGTTTCTACACGAAAAGATGGTGTGAAAAAAGCACTTCACCTTGGAGCGGCCGTATTTGCTCACACCAGCTTGTAGAAGTTCCGCAATATCAGATTCAAAAGTGTTGGCTGCCAGCCTTACTTCTTATAAAATAATTTTTTTTTGCTATCGCGTTCATTTCATTGCGTTCAATGCGCCATTGTGTTGCCAGAACTAATCAACTAATCGGGAAAGCTACCAGCCTGCGAACTCATGGCGCAGCGAAAGATGGAAGCGCGTGACGAATCGACCTCCGAAGATCCGTCGTCACCGCAGTCTCAGCGAGTTTCCATCAGCGCCTAATCTGACGACCCCTCGGTGGTAATGACACGGTTTTTCAAAATAAGTAAAGTCACAGTTTTGCCGCAAGGGCGAAAAAATGACAACTTGGAATATAACGCTGAGAATGGTAAGCAGATCGAAGCATGCAGCGCGCTGCTCAAGCACAAATGACGCGTGAAAGGAACATACACAGGACAAGAGCGAACAACCTTTACCTCTCGACAGTTAAGGAGGGACACGGCTTTGGAATCGCGAAAAATGGCGAAAAATCAATTTTTTGAAAATCAAGTTTTCAGTTTCTGGAACCATTTTTCTATCTTGTTCCAAAATATCTACACTGAAAACCCCGCAGATGTGCTTCGGAAAATTTGTTTCACCCACCTAGGTAGCAAAACTTTTTCTGTAAATGGCGAGGAAACAGCGATCTTCAAAAAGTTATAGCTTCGCGATGCTTGGGCCGGGAGCCGACTTCTTAGGATCATCAGAAAGAGCATTTCTCTGCGTTTAACTTTCCCACCTCAGCTGGGTCCTCCCTTTAACAGTAAGCGCACAAAAAGCAAATGTTTGATGGTTGTTTTGAGGCCCTTGATCGGCTGTGGCTGCCATATTGCCTCAGCTCGCCTCGCCATTGGCCAGATGCTCGCTCTGGGAGATCGTCCTCTGTTGCTTGTGCGTCATGAGGACATGGCTCTCGAAAATCGCTACTTCGTGACGTGTTCACAACTCGATGATCGCTTGAAATATAATTACGCTTTAGTTAACAAGCAGTAAGCGGATGCGCGGTCAGGTTACTACGAGCGAGCGCACGGTCTACGAGCGCGGCGCGCCATCGGAGTCGGCTTTAGCCCTAACTCCACTGACAGCGAGACTGCGGGCAGGAACGACATGCAAGCGCACTCTTGGCGACGTGCTTGTTCGCAAGGAATGAGGCACATCACTCGCTTCTGTCATCTGTCTTCATGTGTCTTCTGTTTTTTTTCCCTGAATTTCTGAACACTGATTGTGGGTACAGCAATCTTCAATTTCTGTTTTATGGCCCTGTTTTTCTTCTAGACGATGATTTGTTCATGCCACCGTATCTGACAATGTGTGTTGGCAGTCACGATGATCTCTAAAAAAAAAAAGAGAAAACTTAAGAATTGTGAGAGTGCCATACCCTGTAGCTTTCTTCTGAGTAAAGATCAACACTATTCGCAGCTTCCTGGCATGTTTTGTTACAGCGCTAGGCTTTCCACGAGCAGACCATATAATTGCACCATGTAGCATTATGTAACTTGAGAACTACTGAAGGTATCATGATGAAACTGCATATTTCCCTATTCGAGACCCTTATGATTATCTTGATTGTAAACATTTGACAGAAGTCTGTCTGGTTGGGTATGAAACTGGGAGATTATATAGACTCCAACCAAAAGTTTTGAAGAAACCCGACGTTTCGGAACCGACTTGGTTCCTTCCTCAGGGGTGACTGCCTGAGGAAGTAGCAGCAGCGTCTTCAAAGCACTCGAGGGGTGGCTAATTACCTCTCTCTCTCGCTCTCTCTTTCGTTTTGCCGTGGAGCACAGTGTGTGTGTACACTGGGGGAAGGGTTCCGAGAGAGAGAGGGGGGGGTCATTAGCCACCCCTCGAGTGCTTTGAAGATGCTGCTGCTACGCAGCCTACGCAGTCACCCCTGAGGAAGGAACCAAGTCAGTTCTGAAACGTTGGGTTTCTTCAAAACTTTGGTTGGAGTCTATATCACCTCCCACTTATGATTATGCATGCCAAATTTTATTGCTGTAGGTCAAGAAACAAAAAAGTTTTTTTTCAGCGCCACCCACATTGCGCTCTATAAACAAAAACAAAAACGACGCACGAAACAAAATCACAGGTACAGATATAAGTGCAAACTAAAAAAATACCCTAGTTGTTACTTCGCTTTGTTTGAAAAGTGCACTCTTTTTGAAAACGGCGCCTGTCTATCGAGGAAAGTGAGCTTTGTGCGCTTTGCAACTAAACGCAATCATTCCGGCCAAGGTCGAAGGCGGGTGATGCTCCCCGCCGAAAGATAAGCGCAGTGCACAAGCATCAGCCCCCCCTCCGCCGGGCAATGCACAGGAGGGTGGTAAGCGCACGCCAGTGCATCCTGACAAGCTGGGCCCCGAGTGCTGGTTTATATTTTTTTAGTTTTCATATATATATATATATATATATATATATATATATATATATATATATATATAAAGTGAATGACGGCTGCAGCGCCGATAAAGAGACAGCCGAGACTGTCCATATAACTGCTATAACGCAATAAAAAATTAAAGCAAAGCTGAACGTCGTCGAGGGCCACACCATGCGCGTGTAGTGGAACTAGGCATGCGCGCACGGCACCGAAAATGAAGAGCGAACGACGCGGACACATTGAAAAATAGATAGTGAACCAAAAATTTGAAATCGCTTTGACGATACGGAATCACAGGAGTTGGAGTCATCGTGAGCCTGGTAGTCTTTTGGTTTTGGTGCTCGAATGCTGACGTGGTCACGAAGTCAAATCGTGGCTAGATTGGTGTTTAGAGGTGAAAGTGCTTGAGGCCTGTTAACAGTAGTAGACTCTCAGTAGTATATGAAAATGCCTCAAATGGAACTGATAATTCAACGAAGCAATCGCTTCCAATGTGAATTGTGTGGCTTGTATTCTTCGCCGCTGTTTATCTCTCAGTAAACAGAACTACTGCTAAGTGGAACACATTGTCCTGGTGTCTTCATGTTCCATTTGACAAGAGTCTACTGTACTTATAGATTTAGGTGCGCATAAAAGGACGCTAAAGTCAAATAATATCAGTGAAAGCTCAATGTATGACAACTTATAAAATCCCCAAAAACAGCAGTGCCCTACTTGCTGAGAAATTAAGGGGGACATGGATTCTAAAGATAACGTGGGTAATTTCTTGGACAAACTAAGTGAAACTGCACAGATTTGTTCAGTTTCTCGAGCTTATTTTAACTATCCACCTATTTTTTATGCAGGTCCATTATTTTCTGAGATAATTAGCAATACATTATATTGTTTGCTTAAACCATGAAAATTTGTGCACATAGAATTGCATAGTCATTAACACATATATGGATACTAGTAACCCAAAGGAGTGCAATGCTGCAAACTGATAGAAATTTGAACAAATACTTCTTGAATTACGGCACAATAAAGTTAAAGAAAATAAAACTCATATATGGATACTAGTAACCCAAAGGAGTGCAATGCTGTAAACTGATAGAAATTTGAACAAATACTTCTTGAATTACAGCACAATAAAGTTAATTGTCTATATGTAACCAAAAACAAAAAAATTTCAAT